CTGGACTCTTTCCACCTCTTGAATTCCGTAGATTTCTGTACCTGACCCTTTTGAAAGCACTTCAGTCACTCACTCATGAAGTAGTATTGCCTGGCCCTGCCTCTATCATTTGTGTATGGACATTTGTGCATGGGCATACATGACCTTGTGACACGTTTACGCAGAAACCCTATCAAATCAAATGCAGATAAACTGCTGGGATATCATGACACAGCATCTATTGTGCAATGAAGTAATGTCTAACTGCACCAGAAATAGGATTTATCTTCAGTTTCTATTTTGTCCTGTGTTTAACAAGATTAAATGTCATGTGAATGACGACACAAGATCCCATTTATTACTGCTAACAAGGATGGATCTGTGCTTTAGACAGACTATCTTAGAAGGTTTTCAGCAATTTCAGGCAAAGCTGTGAGCCTCATCTGGCTTCTTGATCATGTCACAGAAGCGCAGGAATGGCTCCATTGTTTAAAGATTAAATTCTGCTGTGTAAAGTATATGAAATTGATCTAAATCCAAGGTTGATGGATTGCAAGTCCAGGATAGTTCATTAGGGCTAACACGAACACTTTCAAAATACATTCCCTATTCTCTGACCAGAAGAAAAATGTTCAGCCTTTCCACAAATGAAATATTTTTTAAAACTAGCACTAAGGGGGAATAATTTTAGAGGAGGCATTTGTATGAAGGTGGTTTTATCTTGAGGACAAGAGCAGTCTTGTTAAAGTACTAGCCTGGAGATTGGAAGAACCAGCACTTCCTGCTCTGCACCGCGTGACTGGTGATGTTCCTTTAGTTTCTCGGTAAATTCTGCATGTACAAATGGGGATAATAGCATCTCCATACCTCTCTGGGGTATTCATAGGGATAAGTACCTTAAAGAGACTACAGAGGCATTCAGATACTTTGGAGATAGATCTATGCTTTGGTACTTTAAAGTATTCTTTCCACAGAATATATAATACTTGTATACAAGAGCTGTATGGCTCATACAGAAACGCTGTGAGGACTTCAGTCCCCAACATCCCAAAGAGATGGGAAGTTTCCCATTGAAGCCAGTTTGTCTTGTATCCTGTTTTGTAAGGGAGAAGACTTGGTGAAGAAAGGATTCATAGGCAAGTGGTTTGGGTTTGAGATTTAACCTTTAAGGATATACTAAAAGGTTTTAGGTGCTCTCATTCTTCAGGAAGATTTATAGATACCTGGGTTTTTAGCAGCCTAGACCCCAGCATAGTCCTGCAGTTCGCAAAGATGTCCTTCCACCCCATCGATGCTGAGGCATGAAAGGGCAGGTCCCTGAGTTAGAAGGCAACTTTCCCAACTATAATACAACACGGCAAACATGCTGTGCTTAAAAACCATACAGCGAGTCGCTAAAAGCTCTAGCTGTGTCCATGTACTTGGCTAGCTCCTCATCAGCTCCCAGAGGGAGGCTTGTGTTTACATAAGGACCTTGTGATGGGAGTGGAATGACAAAACTTTGGCAAACTTTGAGGAGGGGCGGCCGGGGAAGAGAGAGAGAGAGAAAGCGTGTGTGTCTGTGTCTGTGCATGGAGACTACAGCCTCTCCACAATGTGTAAAGAACTGTCTGAAGTTTGCCCTGATTTTTTTCATGTTCAGTGAGGTGGATTGACACTGAGAGCATCTGCAATCCATTGTTGTATTGTACTGGTTAGGGGTGCACTGATAGAGATTTTGGGGGCTGATACCAATAGCTGATGTTTAAGGAGGAATATCAGCCAATACCAATCTGATTTCTGATAGAGCTGCGTGCAGCTGGTAAGTCTGTTGTGGTGGATGGGGAGGAGGGAGGGAAGGAGCGTGGAGGGGGGGCAGATCAAGGCCCCCGCGATGAAGGAGGGAGTAGGGCAGGGGCTGGGGCAGGCGCTGCCCAGCTGGGGTGGAGCATGGGATGGAGCTGTGGCTAGTTCGGGGAGTGTAGGAGGAGGGTGGCTGTGGGGGTTGCATGCCCCCCTGGATCTGTGCGAGGTGGGGAGGCTGCAGATGCAAGCTGGAGCCGGGGCTGCACCGGGCTCTTCCCGGCACGTAGGGACTGCGCTAGGGGCAGGTGGCAGCAGCACTAGGAGGGGGCTACGGTGAAATTTGGGGTGGCTGCAGCCCTCCTCGTAACCCCTCTCCCAGTACCGCTGCTGCCTGCCCCAACTGCAGCCCCCACATGCTGGGAACAGCTCAGAGCAGCCCTGGCCCCAGCCCACAGCTGCAGCCACAGCCCACCCTTACCCCCCCGCTCCGTGTCCCCTGGATGAGCTGTGGCCCAGTCCCACGCCCCACCCCACTCCCTCCCTCACCATGGGTGTGTTGATCTGCCCCCCATGCTCCTTTCCTCCACCACAACAGACTTACCAGCTGCGCAGCTCTCCAAGCTGCCGGGCTGTCCTTCTCGTTGCCTGCATGCTGTGCTGTGGCTGCACGCATGCGCAGGCATTTATCAGCCAAATTATTGGCCACGTCAGGCCAATTTCCAATACAATCAATTTTCTTTATATCGGTGCCAATCCAATATCAGACCGATGTATTGGTGCACCTCTAGTACAGGTACTCCTCACTTAACGTTGTCCTGGTTAACATTGTTTCAGTATTATGTCACTGATGTATTAGAGACCATGCTCGTTTAAAATCTTGCAGTGTTCAGTTTTAATGTTGTTTGGCTGCCGCCTGCTAGTAGGTAACTACTGTGATGTAATTGGATTCACTTAACATTGTTTTGCTTAAAGTCACATTTTTCAAGAACGTACCTACGATGTTAAGTAAGGTGTAGTTGTACTGGGAGATGGTACGTGTCTAGTTGAACATTGGACTTGTATGCATGTGTGCACAGCTAACCATCCGAGTAATTATCTCATCAGGCAAATAGGAGACAATCTGATTGTCCCTGGAGGAGTTAAAACCATAGAAGCCAATGGGAAGATGGTGATCCCCGGAGGTATCGATGTCCACACTCACTTGCAGATGCCATACAAGGGAATGACAGCTGTGGATGATTTCTTCCAAGGGACCAAAGCAGCCTTGGCTGGTGGAACCACCATGATCAGTAAGTGCGGTGGGAGCCTTCACACAAGCAGCGTGCTGTGCCTTAATGAGTCTTTGCCATAGTTAATAGCTTGTAGTTGCAAAAGATCAGTTTTTATGACCTGCTGGCTCCCTTGATTCCTGAGAGGTTTCTCTTTAATTATTTTGAGTAATTGAGTGGAAGAAGTTGGGGAGAGAGAATGCCTATGGACATAGGTATTCCTATAGGTCAGGAGAGAGGGGGGTGGACCAGGAGAAGGGAGCTGCTGGACAGGGATTTGGGGAGAAATACAGGGGAGGTAGATGGATGTGACAGAGAGGATCTTCCACAGTTGGCCGGATTCCAGCAGGAGCTGTAGATAAAGGGCTGACACCAAAGGGAAATGGGGAGTATTAATAGATATAGAATATGGGAGAATCAAGGGAGACAGGGAAGAATGGTTGAATGGAAGGGGAATCGTACCACAAGCTGAAAGATCCTGGTGGGAAACATGCCATCTGAGCAGCTGTCTCTTCATCCACGCCCCTGCAGCCAGAAGCAGTCTGCTGTCTGACAGAGAGATGTGGATCACCCTCTATTTACCACTGAAGTGCCCCTGCCATGTGGCCCCCATCTGCCTGCCCCCTGTCAAAGAGGGGACGGTACAATGAAAAGTGGAACCCCACCAGGTTTCTTAGCAACGTGTGTCATTGTGATGTTGGCCACAATACAGCAACAGGGTCTTTTTACCTATCAGAATTAACTGGGGAGGGCTGTGGGATAAGCCTCCTTGTTTGGACACAATATGCCTTTAGGTATTGAAACGGGAGACTGAGTTTTGCTTCAGCTGTGTCTTGCTGAGGCTCACTTGAGTGCTGAAACCCTTCTTTCCTAAAATGCCAATGGACCATGGTGCACCACAAACTCTTCTGGAGCAGCATGTTGCAAAATAAATTGAAGAATGCAGGACCCAGTGCTGCCATTGTACAGGTCTGCAGCCCCAGCACCCTTAGTGAGTTGGCACTCGTGTTGCTGAGAGCAGAATTTGGCCTAATGCATTTTGCTTTTCTTGCCTCTTAACCCGATTACTTTTGTGTGCCACAAATTTGTATGGCTCTTGGAGCTAGGTGAGGAATTCTCAATGAATGCCCAGTTGGAATAAGACACCCTGTTTCAAAGGTTTGGTCCAGTCTCACAGCTCAGCCTGGTTTTGTTTGTAAGATCCTGATAGTGCACTAGTCTCTTGAGGAGCTTAGTGCAAACCTAGGTTGACATATAATTTCAGTGTGATGGTAAGTGGAAGCTGCAGTCTCCTCCATCCTGAGTTTAAATGATGGGGAGCAGGTCATTTGAAGCAGGCAGTCTCAGAAAAATAGGCAAATTTGCATGGGTCAAAACCAAATCGTGTCCAAACCCAACCCCTGAGTGTGCTGTGCTCCGGTACCCAGCCTGACGATACCTTCACCAGAATGCAGTGTTGCCAATACAATTAAAAAACAAAATGAGGGCAATGTGCCCAGAGCAATCCAAGTACAGGAACAGGAGGATGCCCCAGCATCCCACGCAGCCCAGAGAAATAAACAGATCGGACTAAAAAGGAAGTGGAATTCCTGCTTCTTGCCCTGAAGGATGCCACAGATGTGCTCTGGTTTATAGTTTAGGTTTCACTGCCTCTGCGGCAGTCACAGGCATCCGCACTTCGGAGACCTACTCGGGATGCAAAAAAAATTGTTGAATCCCACTGCTAGAAGATGGGGTTTCCTTTAGTTCTGCTCTGTCCTCTGTTGGCTGAAGGGATAACTGTCTCTGTCACAGCAATGTCTGTTATGCAAAAAGTCCTGCGGCAGCGACTGAGGATTATATAACGGGCAATAAAAGATGCATTAGGGCCAGGTCTTTGCAGGAGACTAAGTTTTAATGGGGTGGAAGTGGGGGTGAGGGAGGATGGAGGGTCCTGTTGCTTCCAGCTGATTTCTCGGCAGCAGCCTGTAAAAGCTGCTGGGGCTATGCCAAAGGCTATTAAGGCAAGGCTCAGTGCATTTCTTTTGTGATAAGTGCACTTTAGATGTGCTTAAGAACATGGTGATGGGAGTCGGTTGTTAGGAGCTCCCTTCATGTTTCATTTCCCTTTGTGCTGTGTAGCTGTTGGGAAGAGAGGTCTGGGACCACCAATGCGCTTCAGCATGATTTCTAGGGAGGTAGCAGGGGTAAAGTAGCAGAGGCCCGATGCAGATGAACGGAGACCAAGTAGAGGGTTGTAGTGAGAAGCTGGGACACTGAATGCAGGGGGAATTGACGGGCCAGTAAACCCAGGGTGTAAGCATTCGTTCACAACCTCCGTTCTGTCTACCCCCGACATCCAGTGGACCATGTCATCCCTGAGCCGGAGTCCAGCCTGACAGAAGTCTACGAGAAGTGGCGAGAGTGGGGTGACGGGAAGGCCTGCTGTGACTATTCCCTGCACGTGGATGTCACCCACTGGAATGACAGTGTCAAACAAGAAGTGCAGACACTCATCAAAGAGAAAGGTTTGTCCAGAGAAAGGGGCTTTCTCCCCTTGTCTTTGACTTCTCTACTTCAGGCCCCTTTACCTGTACCTCCATTTTTCAGCACACATTCCCCCCAGGCCCCAGCCCTGAGCACATCTAGAGCCTTGGGAAGCACTTGCACCATGGTTAAAGGACGGGGAGACAAGATTGCTGCGATCTGTCCCACTCACTGTATGTAGGCAAGGCTGTGTCTTGTTTTTCTCATCTGTGCAATTCAGAGATCAGGCCTTGTGGGGAGAGGAGGACAGGAAGGTATTTTATGCTCAAGAGCCTTGAAAGAAAGCCAGCGAGAGAGAGTCACAAACCAAAGGTGTAAGACTGGCCTTTTTGCTTCTGCTTCTGAGAGGGAAAGCCAAGCCCGCACCCTTCCAGTCTGCTGTCCCAAGCACGCTCTGTACATCTTCCAGACCAGTTCCCCTTTCCCTCTATGGCCTGGACTTGAGAGTGCTTCCTGCACCGTCCTCATATAGCGCAAAGGGCTTTAAATAGCTACAGCTGCAGCCCAGTGGCAGGTACAGTTTCTGGGAACTGCCTTCCTCCCTCTTGTTTCCTGGCATCCCTGGGGATACTTTATAACCTTGAACAGTGAATTATTATAGTCTCCTGAAGATAAACAGGGAAAAGAAAGCCCAGAAAATCCTCTGCTTCACCTTCAGATCCTGCCAAAGGCTCCCATTCCTTTAGGTCTGAGTAATTCTCGCATGCCTTGTGGATGTACAAGGAGACGGACGGAGAGGATGGAATCGGGGATGGAATCCTGTTTGTTCATTTCTTTTTCTGTTTTTTCCTTCCTCCGCCCCTAGGAGTTAACTCCTTCATGGTTTACATGGCCTACAAGGATTTATACCAGATGTCAAACACAGAGGTAAGAGCTACGTTGGCCACTCTGGTGGTGGTGCAGGTACCATCAGGCCCATTTTGTTTTATTTGTAACAGGAGCTGGAAATAATTCTTGGTATTAAGCAAAGATAGGGAAGGGCAATCAGGTTTCACCCCACTCACTTTTTACTCCGTGGGTTGCATTTCCCTCTCGGTACAGCGACTTGGCCTGTGGAGGTGATTGTCTATAATCAGCACCTCCATAGTACTTCACAGGGTCTTGCAGTGTGGGGTCTCTGGAGAGTGTGTTCGCTTCCCAGCACGGGAGGTTGGGTGGAGCTGCAGAGGGTAGTAGATACAAGTTTTGAAGACTTGGAGAGACCCTTGAGTGCTTGAATAGATAAGCGAGAGCATCATGCGAGATGTTTCCTTACCAAGCCTTGTTCTAACTGTAAATGGGGCTTGCATAGCACTGAAACCACGCGGGCTGTTATTCTTAGCTGAAGGCCTGTCATGTTTTTTCTACAGCCTGGGGTCCCTTAACATCAAATACCAACCAAGTGAAAATGTCTGTGCAGTAGTAATTTTCCTGTCTCACTCTGTTTCAGCTGTATGAAATTTTTAGCTGCTTGGGAGAGCTGGGGGCAGTAGCTCAAGTTCATGCCGAAAATGGGGATATCATTGCACAGGTAACTGCTATTCTGTCTATGCTGGGACTGCAAATCTGACGTGGGCAGACAGTTTGGTGCTGTCTGTTAGCACAAGCTAACAGTGAAGAGTAGCCCTACAGTGCACCTATCTGCATACATCTAAATGCCATTGTAATTCTGACTGCTAAGAACCAGTTAGGTCAGGGCCTGTTGTATTAGGCGTCTTTCAGAAATGACCAGAGAAACCCAAAAGGATGTGTGTGGGTGTATATATATAAAACTGAAGAGCATGAAATTGCTTTCAGGAATTTATAAATATTTTCACTAGTAATATTTTCCTTAGTAGATAGGCAGAACCTGCTATACTTTTTAGTGTTGGAAAACCAGGTCTACAAACAGAATCTAAATGGTCGATTTTGTTGTCGAAACTAAAATGAAATATAAGGAGCAAACATTAAAAAGTGAACTTTTCTTAGGATGCTACTTGCAACATAGATAAGGGATTTTAGGAGAAGTGTTTTTATTATAATTATTTTGGCCTCTGCGTTTATTTTTTAAAGTATGATGGCATTTCCTGCTTGGAATAAAATGTCTTTTTGTTAACTATCGACTGGGATATTCCAAATTAGCAGCCTGTCACTTTTAAAATCAGCTAAGGAAATCATTTCCTTATGCAACGTGGAGTGGAACTTTGCTGTCACAGGATGTTGGCAAGAAACACGAACTATTTGGATTTAAAAGGAGGATTGCGTGCACACACGCACACACACAGTACTGTTAATAACTTTTGTAGCCCTTTAAATTAAGGGAGTGAGGTAAGGCCTTGTGAAATCCCTTGCTTCAGTGGTTCAGGAAGGCGTTGTCTTTTCCTCTTATAAAATTGCTGGTCGATTGGGTGTATTAGACTTTTGCCTTGTCTGAAGCATGTAGAAGACTGAAGAACTGTACAAAGCTAAAGTAAATATCCTAACAGTGTGATGCAGTACAGCAACTCCTGTCTGATTAAACTGATTCCTGATAAGACAGGGTGGCATCTCCCAACTTACTTTTTCTTCACATGCACTTTGGAAATGGATGTCATTTCCCCCACCTTCTCCAAACAGCGCTAGATTGTATTATAATTGGGCACCAAACTATTACCTAGGTAGATGATGCAAGATGAATTCTCTACAGTATTGTTTTCAGCAATGCTGGTACTAATTTTGCTGAGAGTGTATTCAGTCGCCTTCTGAAACTTGATACCCATGACTGTGTGCTTGCTGCTTCTCATCAGAGGAAGCCAGATGATTTCTCAGAAACGCTTTGAATCCATTATTCCCGAGGCATTAGAAAGGGATTTTTCTGACTGTAGGTTTCCTAGAGCCAGCTGTTTTTTGAATGCTTATATGCCTGGTTCATCAGAGTCAAGCTGCAGAATGTGCCTGGGAAGTAGCTGCTACCTGAACTTTTCTTGTAGGAGCTACTTTTGTATCCATAGACTCTTTGGTGCCAGAGTCTTGGATGCATGAAGGCTGTTTGTTTTTTCCAGACATGTTGTCGCCATCATTAGCAAATCCAACCCCTATCAAAAGAAGATTAATATTTTCCATCTGGATGAGCTTCTGTTGTTTTATATTAACTTGTGTTGGGTTTTTTTGCTCTTAGGCAACAACAGAGGTTTCAGAGTGCCCTGTGCATTTCACTCGTATGCACAAATGAGGCTCATTTATCTTCCTTGTTAAGTCCACAACGCAATAGAGGGCATCTCAATTCAGTGCAAGAAAACTCGATGCCCAGAGCTGGCAATTAACCTAATGGAGCAGAATGGTCCGTTGAATCCAGCACAGCTGTGGGTGGAGTTACTAATGCTGGATGCTGCATTAGAAAGTAAAGGACCTCATAGTGCACCAGACCACTGCTGCATTATAACACAGAGTGCAAAATTTCAGAGCAATAGGGGAATGTCTCATACAAGCAGTCAGCTTGTGGAATTGGATTAATGGGACGATGCTTCTTCAGTTTAAGGTTGCACTGGCACAGTATATTATCATTGGTGTTGCATGTAGGGGAAATAGGAGCTCTTCAGGGGGGGATTTTTGAAGTGCAGGAGAGAAATTTGTTCAGGTGTATGCTGTACCACATCCTCACTCTGGCTTTTCCTTTCTCTGGTGGGTTGGGGGTTTAAAGAGTCTCCAAACCAACCTCTCAGAACCCTTCAAAATGCAAGAATCTCTCTCTCTCCAGATATTTTTCATGGCTACATTTAAAGTTCATGGGTATTTTCACATGAAAGTGGTGTGATCAAGGAATGAGCCTTAATTAGATAGAAGTTTTTTTGTCTACTTTAATATCCTGACCACAAAAACATAAAAGTTACAAGTTACATTTACTGGAGTTTTGTATATTTGGAAATTATTTCTCCATTCCAAGATGATACTTACACAAATGGGCCACAGATCCAAATTAGGATTAGATTAGGTTGGTCAGGGACCCTCCACCTTTTTTAAGAAGGAAGTTTTGAGGACTGTTTTGAAAACAGTCTGGATGAAAGACTTTATTATTGTGTTTGATAAAAATGTCGGAAAGGAATACTTTTTTCACCTTGTTGTCTTGGGCTGCAGAAAGAAAGTGTAAGATGCACAGCCCTCAAATAGCAATCTGTGTTCAAATTCTTTACAAGTATTAACTGTCAGTCGCAGCTGGAGTCACACCTTCACAGCTGCTGTGTGGTTTTGTGCTATGAGACATAAAAATAAAGGTAGCATCTGCCTGAAGGGTTACAAAAGCTGAAAAAGGTGCTTACATGATGGAACAAAAGGCACATTGGCATTTCATATCGTAATGTTAGGATTCAGAATTTCTGCCTCATTCGTGGTTTGATCTTTTTTGAGGATGCCTGACATTCAAAAACAACTAATGGGTAGATAGATGCCTCCCCTGGCCTTCGCTGCTATTCCCCATGTAACTGATACCTGGTTCACCAAAGACAAGTGATGGCACAAAGAGCGATGTCAGGAGTTGGCATGCTGAATGCCGGAGGTTGAGCATGCCTGTATGTTCCTTTGAGCACCTCTCTGGTTCTCTGGCAAGTGAGGTTTATTCGGAATTAGTGGTAAAGGGAAAACAAATGCAGGTTCTGGACAGCAAGTATAAATTCAAGGCTAACCCGTATAAACGGCACCACTTATCCATGGCTGTAGTCCCTGGTTATAGCAGTAGACTGTTCTGCTGATTGCTTGGCGGGGAACAACCAAGCCCCTGATTGTTGTAAATCTTTTGGCATGGGACTAGATTCTGCTCCCATTCATGCCAGTGCAACCTTAGGCATGTCAGAGGGGTTGCATGTCTATAACTGAGAAGACAGTTTGGCCCATGTTGGATTTGTTTAACTTTTATATCTTTTCCTCAGTGGCCTCAGGCTGTTTAGATTGTTTTTGGACAAAGGGGTCGTAAACTGAATTAAAGGCCTTTTTTCAGGATTGGATTTTTTTTTTTTGTTTCTGTGTGTGTTGTAACCCTCCCTCATGCGCATTTGTTCTAGAGACCTATACCAAAGGAGGCATGTGTGTGACCAGTCCCTCTTTCACCTTTTGCATTTCCCTGCATCTCCGTTTTTGGCATGCTTGTGAACCACCAGCAGCGACTTTGGAAAGTATTGACTGTCTGCTGAGCAGCGAGAGATCCATTGTGCTGTATGATAGATAGTCTGAGCCCTTAGGAAGTGCTGCTTGTGATGGTATTTGTTTTTCCATGAACTGATTTATCAAAATCAGAGTCCCTTAATACCCTCTTTTTTTCATTCTTCTAGGAGCAAACTAGGATGCTGGAGATGGGAATAACTGGCCCAGAAGGCCATGTGCTGAGTAGACCAGAGGAGGTGAGAGAGAAGCATAAGGAAAAAAAGGAGCTCTCTGCACTCATCCTGTTATATGTGTGCATTTTCTCCACGCAGCATAGCCCTCCTCAGCATAATGGCATCTAATAGTTCTGCCTTAAGTATCCAGCTGTTAAACCATCATCACTGTGGGTGAAGGGGGAGCTTTAGTGATGAACCATTTTCAATAATAATTGAGTTTCTGAGTAATAAACAGGAGGCTGTGGGTCTTCCTGAAATGGGATAAACAGCGGAAATTAGTGGTGTCTGGCTGTAGCACAAATTTAAGGTTAGTTGTGGGGCATTCAGGCTCAGTATGCAATTGGGCTAGAAGGCCTGAGATCATAGAGAGACAAGGTTCCTTGGGTGAATTTGATATCTTTTATTAGACCAACTCTATGAGATCATAGAGTAAATGCACTATTAGAGCATCTTTTTTTTTTTTTAAAAAGCATCATTTGCTGTGTCAAAGTTTATTTGTCTTGTAAAGGAAACTCATGAACACACAAATTCCAGCCTCTCCCTAGTCTAATCTCTACCTCAAATCTTAATTGTGTTAAAATCAGACGCACACAACCCTTGGCAATGGGACTAGGGGATTTCCTAATTGTGAATTATTGCTAAGACACTAATTGGATTATGTCTAATTTTAGGATACAGGCTTCGTTTTTATTTGGCCCATTAATTTGAGTTTAGTCTAATCTTAGATTAATATTTGAAATGGCAGCTTGTAGTTGCTGCCTGCTGAAAGCTGCCTTCAGCTTTCCACAGCACATGAAAGAGAGAGAAAAATAATTGTAAGCTGTTATAAGAGCAGAGTTGGGAGGGGACTTTTTGTGAAGACTTATACTTCAGAAGAAAATAAATTGGCTTAAATTAAAGGAATGAAAAGAGTATTGTATTACTCCCGAGATTTGCATAATGTAAGCTTGCTCATTTTGAGATGTGGGACATGAAAAGGTTTTTCTCCCTAGAAAACTGGACCCATATGTTCAGCTGGTGTAAACTGACTTCAGTGGCAAGTATGCCATTTACACCACCTAAGAATCTGGGCCATTATTTAGCTGTTGCAGTTATGCTAGGACTCTTCTGTCATCAGAAGGCAGTTTTCATTGTCCCAAACTGGTAAAAGATTACGGATTGTTTGGTCTTGAAGTGTGATGGATTGGAAAAGTGACTGTCAAATTGGCACTAGGAGCCCCACATATATATTCTGTCTAAATGAATCTATATCATAGCATCTTAGCAAATACAGAACAAGCTGTTTTTCCTAACTCATACTTATTTTCTGTTTTGTAAGTACTTAAGTGTCTCTTCATTAACAGCACCCAGTTGTGCTAGCTGTTGTACCTACGCTGCTAGTTCCCTACATTGAGCCTGTGATCAGAAAGTCTGCTTGTATTCTTTTATTCTTTCCAGGCATATTGTTATGCCATCTATTCCTGGGAAAAATCAAATGGGAGATTGTTTTGGTGATTGTTCTCTGCCTAGGCTACCAACAGCAGTCCGTCACCTTCAGCAAAACCAGGGTGTTGAAGAATGAACTACTACATAGTATGGTTAGAAATTGCTGAGGTACAGGGACAGTAATGAATCTGCCTGACCACTCCCAACTTTAGCTATGTTGGATGTGCAGTAGTAAGAGGAGCGAAAACTCTTCTAATGTGCATAGAGAGCAAAACTGCTGGGTAGTGAACTACTATTTGTACGCAACCACTTTTTATTACTAGAACGTCGCTTTAAACATGAAGGAAAAATTGGAGTTTGACATGCCATGTTCTCTGATAGAAGTTTATATCTCACCTATTCCCCAAATGCAACAATCAGTCTAAAGTTGTGGCGTTATGTATTTCCTGTGTTTTCTCTTCTCCCAAACCCACAAAGTTGGGAGCTCAGACCATCCACTACCCAACATCTACATGGTATCAAGACACCTCCACTGTTACAGTGGTATAGAACTGCATTCCTCTGTCCAAGAATTGTCCGTGTGGAATTGTCTCTTCATAGAGACTAGATGACTGACACATGCAGATGAACCCAACATAATCTGGTTTGTTCATGAGTATGTGAAGCCATATGGGCAATGAGCTACTTCACTGATTCTTAGTTGGGCAGTTGATTTGATAGAGCCCTGCAAAAACCGATGATCTGTAAAGTCCCTTCCAGCCCCTAACAATTATGAAAATGCAGGAGATAGGAGTGCTGCTCATTTATGAGAAGCTGAATAGAACATTTAAATGTTAGAAAAGACTGTTTGTGCAAGGAGTTTAATAGCATGATTTCCATTGATCTTAATGGAAATTGTGTGGGTAAATATTTCTCTCCTTGCTGCTTTGATAATTTGGTGCTCAAGAACTTCGCCCTTCTGTCTTCAGTAAAGGAACAATTGTAGAAACTTATTCGAGTTCAGCTTCACTGAACAAGGGTTGGGTTTTTAAGCATAATCAAACGGGTTTCTGTAGCATGCCCAGTCCTCCAGACATGTAGGGGATGATGATGGGATTGAATTAGGACCAGGTGAAGGAGTAGGGAGCAACAGTGACTGTTTACCTAGGAACTATACGCCCAAATCACATTCTGCATATGTGAGCACAACCTCTCTGTGACAGGATATCAGATGCTTCAAAAAGCTCCCATTTTGCACTGCAGACATGTTCAAATCAAAAAGTACAAACCCATGTGTTAAGCACTAGGCTGGAAATAAAAATGGATGTCTGAGCAAATGCCACGCGCAGAGCATATTTGAAGGTGCCACAGCTGAATACAGTAGATTTGCTGCATAGATACAAATCTAGTGTATTGGCTCTTAAGTGCATGTACAAATACTTCATTGTTTACATTGTTATTCTTTGAACCCAAGAACCAGTTTAGAGCCTAAATGGAAGGTTTGTTTGAGTCGAACAACCCTGATGGAAATAGCATGATGGTGTGTGCATTGGTCAGCTTACCTAGTATGTGGGAGGAATTGGGGTTGCATGATCCAAGAAGCTCTGTCTGCATTGTTGCCAGCTGGCAGCCTCTGAATGCCAGAGAATTGGCCTCTTTCTCTTATAGGTATGTTATCTTAAGGTTTGGAGGGTTCTTTTTAAACTTCCTAATTTTGAAGCTTTGACACCAACCCTAGAGAAAAATCTTGGCCAGCCCTTTACGTAGCTCATGCTTAACGGGAGGTGATGTAATACGCCAAAGATATCCCGCTTGCTAAAGTGTTGAAAATCCTCCCAGGCCTAACAGCAAGCAAGCTATTCAAGTGTAGGGCTGATGTCAGAGGAGGCTGAACTGCCCAGCAGCAGGTTAGCAGCACAAACGGACTTAGACAGAAGCAGAACTACCGGCAAAATAGCCAGCTGCACCTCATCCACAGACACAGCCAGATGTTAATTTTTTAAACAAATGCAGAGTGATCCTGTAGTGACAGCACACTCCAATAGAAAGAGGGTTGGATGGGAACTCGGAGGCCTGTTGCTGGGTTGTTGTGTGACCATGGGCAAGTTGGTTGATACATCCATGCCTTAGCTTCTCCTCTGAAAAATAGGTTAATAATACCCGCTTTGAAAGCTCTTCCTGTTATTTGGATAAGTAGCGTTTAATAGATTTATTGTTACATATCATTGCTAAAAGCTAATTTAAAGAGCTGCGCAAAGGAGCTGATGGATTTGGGTAGTGAACAGCAAAAGAACTGCATCTAGATTCTGTTCAGGGCTCGGTATCTAATTCAACAGTGCTGAAAACTGTCAAGCTTCTCTTTCGGGATTTCAGCCCAAGTGTTACACGACGTTCTGATCTTGTAGGTTTGTGGCAGTTCCTGGGAGCCCTGGTCACAGACTCAGGGTGCTTTAGGACCACAGAGTCAATGACAGTCCTTGCCCCAAATTGTTCACAGTCTAAGAATGAGATGAAAGAAAAACGGGCAGGTTCATCTAGAGCACATGGCAGCAATAAGACCATGTTGATCAGCATGATGGGCAACATATGCTTTATGTGGGGAACCTTTTAAACACAATGGGAGGTGGATGCTCTTGTGGCAGAGGGTGCCCCTGGACATGTGCAATGACCTTGCACTAGTAGGATTCATGCCTTTATTAGATAGCTGGTGTCTTGTGCTCCCCATGGGTTATTTACAACCTTTGTGTGTCATGTCTGCTCTTCCAGCTGGAAGCTGAAGCTGTTTTCCGTGCCATCACCATTGCTAGCCAGACCAACTGTCCTCTCTATGTGACCAAAGTGATGAGCAAGAGCGCTGCAGACCTCATCTCACAAGCCAGGAAAAAAGGTGGGCAGCATTTGTCTCTTCCCTCCTAGATTTCCTTTTTCATCTTTGGGTTTTTGTGTGGCTAGGCACCCTGTTCAGAAGGGTCCTGTACCCTTGTCTTTGCTCCAAGCAAGGAGATTTGTCCCTTGACCTATTTTAATGCTTCCCACATCTCCACGTCAGCCAGTCAGCATGGGGTTTTGCAAAAAGCTAGTGAAGTGTGAGTAGTGCAAACTTATCTTGACCATTATATGACATGGAAAACCATTGGTATGTGTTTGGGCATGCTTTCTAACCTATCTGTTTTTCTGCAGTACCTATCACCAAGGTTTCTGTGTCGCTAGCTGCTGTGAATGTGTGTGTGTGTGTGTGTGTGTGTGTGTGAGAGAGAGAGAGAGAGAGAGAGAGAGAGAGAGAGAAAGAGGTTCAGTCTTTCTCTGACCTCTCTGTATGTAAAAACCATCATAACACTAGTCACCAGGTAATGTCTGTGATTAATGGGAGGCCTGTTCCCAGCCTGGGGGATCTGCCTTTGGTTGCCTGCCAGAAGCCAGAACATCAGGTAGCAACATTTTCTGGACTGGCGGGTCAGTGGTTTGAATACCAAAAGTTTATCTAAGACCAGAAAGCATTTTCTCTGCCAAGAGGACATGAACTGTCCATATGTAAGTGATTTGAGCTGCTAAAAATATCCTCGGCCTCTTTTGATGTGCCGAAGCTTTCAGCGGGTGCCTCCGTGCCTTTCTGGCAGTGGGGAGAGCTCCATCTGGCAGGCAGGATACTTCTGGCGGGGGGAGAAACTGCCCAAAACCACCCAGTACAAGCCTACGCGCTCTTGTCCTCCCAAGACACGATAAATGAAGAAGCTGACTGACCTGTTCTCCCTTTCCCTATCCAAAGCATGGCTCTCCCCTCTCTTCTTCCTTGCTTCTCCCTTTAACTGGGAGACATGCTTTTCTTGTATTTGAAAGTCTTGGTTCACTGGAGCCGGCTCTTAGTGTATGAGGCCTGAATTATAGGGCCTTCCCGTTTCACTGTTGGGTGTAGCAGGATCTGGGATTGAATCCCAACCTCCAGATCTACCCTGTTGTTCTACTCTGCAGGCATTTGTGTGGATGCCTGAGAGCCAAGCTGGATCAGCCTCATGGTGGAAATGTAGCCTCAGGGACAGCTGTCATTGGGAGCAGTGCAGGCAAACAGCCTACCTAGTTCGGAAGTGGAGATTGGATAAATTTACGAGTGGGGTGAGATGATGAGGTTGCCTACAGTAGCTAGGAGTTGGACCCCAACGAGGTCCCTTCAAGTTCAGTATCCCTGTGTTCCTATAATTAGGGCTGCTGCACTGTGCCCTTTTCAGTTGTTTTTCGGCAAGCGAGTAAAGGATAAAAAATAGGCCCTTACTCAATTATGAAAGGGGCATCAAAGAATACTGCGTTTCATGGCCTTGGGGGGAGAGAGAACAGCCCGTTGCATTACAATGAGAGGCTTGGAGGAAGATTTAGGGCCTCCACAAATTATGCCAAAGAAACTTATATCCTAGTGGAGCTAACAACAATCAGACAGAGTATTGAGGAGTGTTACTCAGATCTGTTTGCTGCCAAGGCCCTTTCCAAAGGGTGTAGAAAGGGTGGAAATGCTGGGAGGTGGAGCAGCTGTCATTGTGAGCAGCATGAATGTTGTAGAAAGCCTGGTGGCCTCTGCCTCAGGCAGTCCAATTCACTCCTTCCCTTGGACCAAGCTGCAGCATTTGTCTGAATGGTGCTAGTGTATGATTGAGAGACTAGATGTGTGAGCTTGGAGCTGGCCAGGCCCTTATGGCATTTGGAAAATATTTACCTAACTGAAAAATATCAAGAGAAGGAGGCGAGGGTGGGGGAAGGAAAGGTAATAGAGAGATAGAAATAAATCGTGATGCAAGAAGTTGACCCTTTGCCCAGAATACTGAACTGCTGCCCCGTGTCTGGTCCAGCTAAATTCCTCTGCCCATAACAATCTCTTGATTTAAGCAACCAATCGGGAGGATTCCTGACTCCTGCCAGGTATTTCTAGGATGCTTTTCATCATGGTATCTGGCAGAGATCACAAGACAACAGGCACAAGTCCAGGTTGCAGGATTCCTGCATTCACACTGTTGCTTAGAGGACTTGGGTGAAGTTTGGACTGGAGCAGTCCTCCTGGTGGGTCCAGGCTGTCTTGCTAGGAGCTCGTGAGGTTGCTCAGTCATGTAAAGTCTTACAAGAGAGAAGTGACCACTTTCAGGACAAGCCCCTAGAGTTTGTAGCACCAGCAGCTCGAAACCCCAGGTCCTTGAGTGCCAGGACCAGGACTGTACCTGGCCCGTTGCCACAGGTAGTCCCCATTGCTGCTTCTCACCAACCTCTTGTGTTCAGGGTCCTAAATCAAAAAAGACCAATGTGGAAGGTCCAGTTCACAAGGGGGAATGTCTTCAAATTTAGCCAAATAACACTGCGTGCTGAGAGGTCCATCTGTGTCTCTCCCCACCAGGTAATGTGGTGTTTGGTGAGCCTATCACAGCCAGTCTTGGAACGGATGGGACACACTACTGGAGCAAAAACTGGGCCAAGGCTGCTGCATTTGTGACCTCCCCACCCCTGAGTCCAGATCCAACAACTCCTGACTACATCAACTCCTTACTGGCCAGGTGAGTGGTTTGCATTTGGAGAAAAAAACTCTACCTCCCCTCCCCCTGAATACAGTGGGGCCATGAGAGCCCAGTTCCACCCAGGCGTGAGAGCCTGTGCCTCAGGCGGCTGTGGTGTCGGCATCATTTGGGAAGGCTGCAACTCAAATGGATCAGCGTCAGAGGTGGATTTGGCAGAGAGTATGAGTTTCCAGAAAGACCATGCTGTGTGGGCCCAGACGGAGAGGCTTTGCTAGGGGTGTGGGGAAGATGATCAGTATTTAAAGCATTTGCAATTGCTGCAGTTCGATCTAAGATTGGGTTAGCCAGCAGTGGCCCAATTCAGTGCTGAGGGCACCAGCAGTGCTGTCTGCATGTTCCAGAAATGAAATGGTTTCAGATAGTGCAGATTAACATTGGAGGCAAATAGCCAGACCTGTGGTTAAGCTGTAAAATAGTGAACATGGCCCCTCCATAGCCTTATCCATCCCTTATGTCACATGAGTACCACATTTACTAGCTGGAAAGAAAAAAAGAAAGAAGAGCCATGTAGCCCTTGAAACCCACACATGCCTGTCCTGAGCTATGCACAGATCACCTCGGGGTGCTGCTTCCTGTGTTTGTCCAGAGTGGGTTAGCATAATAAGAGGCTCCAGTGGGGCTGTGCATTTAGAGAATGTTTTGCCCTGTTGTTAGATTTCTGCCTGTGCAGCAGCTCAGACATATGGCAGAAATTATAAAGGGAAGATGGAGATTATCAGTGGATTAAAACCCAGGTTTGCACGCACAATCTGTGGGCTCAGCATAATTGCATCACTGCTTTTCTGCTTCAAGCCTGGTCCATCTGAAAACCCAGCAATCACTGTAGTTTCCCTCCTTATCATTAGACATGGCTTAAAGTGGGGGTTTATTCCCACTCTGCCAAAATGACTTCCTAATTACTGTGCATCTTCTGGTCTCTGCATACCCAGGAGCCAGGAAGTTTCTAGAGAACAACAGAACAATTCCTTGCTAAAGATACTCGCTGCTTCCCTCTGCTGTCAGTACATATGAATATAGCCAACCAGAGAAAGGAGCTCAGTCACTGAGGGCTTTATTAAGTCTCTCTTTCTTTCTCTCTGTCTCTCTCTCAAGCAGTGATTCTTAACCAGGCTGCTGTGACACCCTGGGATGCCCGGAGATCCTTTTAAGATTGTTACAGGGTGTCATGCAAATGTTAGCACTGTTAGGTGTGCAAACATGATTCACAAGAGGAATCCAAAGATTTCAAATAGGAACCCACAGTGTCAGAACCCCTCTGACCTGTTGTTGTGTTTCTGAATTTTTTGCTACAGAAAAATTGCTCTAATATTTTTCCATAGTGGAAACTAAAAGTTGGCATTTTCCATGGGGTGCGTGGAGTCTCAGACAGGTTTGAGAACCACTGCTGTAAAGCAGTTTGAGGTAGTGAAGAGTATAGCTTTAACTTGACTGTACAAGCTGCAGGGTTTTGGGTTGTAGCTGTGTTGGTCTAAGGACGTAGGCAGGCAAGCTTTTTTGGGTAGATGTGATATCTTTTATTAAACCAACTGAATAGCTGGAATTTTCTTTTCCAACTACTCAGTTGGTCTAATAAAAGATATCACACCTACCCAAAGAAGCTTGCCTGCCTACTGTACAAGCTGATGATTATTAAAGTTTCTTGGAGAAGCTGAGGTTCGTTTGAACTAGGCATGTAAATATCATCTAAATAATTATCTGTTTAAACTCTTCTAATAATATCGGTTAACCAATTACACATATTGCACACGTAGGACAGGTGCTCCGTTCCCACCCCCAGTCACCTGCAAGGCTTCCCGCAAAGTGGAGCCAGGTTCCCCCACTCCCTTCCCCACCCAGCGACAGCAGCAGCAGCATCTCCCCGCACAGTCCCCTGCTGCAGCCCAGGTTGGGACCAGCTCTGTCTACTCCTTTGCTCTCCCATCCATGCTGCTCTCTGTGCAGATGGAGGGGAGCCTGCCCCACACTGCTCCAGCCTGGTTGCCAGCTGCTCTGTGCTGCTGCCCCCAGTTGCACTGTAGAGGGCCAGAGGGTGGTGAGCTGGCTCTAACCTACTGCAAACAGCTGCCCGGGACTGGCTGCAGCAGTTCAGGGGTAGGCAGAGCTGCAGGCTGCCCCAGACAGGTGGGGCTTCTTTTCAACCGCTTGCTCCATCTTTAGTGGAAACCAGTCCCTTCTCCCCTCCTCCTCCTACTCTCCTGCCTGCCCTGCCACCTTCCAGTTCCTGCTGGGGCTTCCCCCCCCCCGCCTACTTCCTTGCCAGACTTCACCCCACCCTGCGCTAACCAATAACCAATTAGCTATAACCACTTATCACTGGTCTTACCTGTTAAACGATTAATCATTTAACCATTCACATCCCTGTTTTGAACCCCACTTGGTTGCCCTTGGTGAAAAGGGCACCTGTGTGACCTGGGGTACTACTAAGGGAAGGATGTGGGACTGCGGAGATATGGGGGAGATGCAGTTTGCCCAGTAGAGAGATTGAGTGCTGCACTCTGAAGTCTGCTGTACAAGAGAAGTGGGAATAGTGCCCAGCATGAACCCCCCAGCCTTGCCTTTTCTGGTAGCAAACTGACAAGCCTCTAGGGGCTGGACAATCCCTCTTGACTTTGCTAATGACAGCCTCCTTAGCGTACAGTGTCCTGAGCATGCAACAGGTTTCTTGTTCTGAAGGGCCAGTAAGTTTAGGAGGAGGATGAGCCTTTGGAGATACAGCAATGGGAGGAATATCCCTAGAGAACGACCCAGAGGTGTAAAAAATCCAGGAGAATTTTCTTTCCCCCTTGTCTGACATAAGAAAACTAATGAAGCTGTGGGGAATGACATTTGTGATCTAGTAGGGGAATGCTCCTTCCAAAGGATTAATGTAGGACTCTCCTCCCTGGAGGTAAAGGCTGTCCTGATTGAGGTCAGTGTCTCATTCTGATATGCTGTAAAGTTACAAGGTCCTAGCCACTTATTGCCATTAAGAGATCTGTCAGCAGTTTTCCCCAGAGTTGGGTTATTACCTTCCTTTCATGTCCTCCCATATTCCAGCACCTGAGGTATTTTTCATCCTTTGTAAACTTAGGTTTGCTTGCTTCATTGGCAAGTGGTTCGTTTGGACCAAACAGGTCACAGCACTCCAAACTCTAATTCACAAAGTAGCCTTGGCCGAATGGGAAGAGGTATGAATAGAAAAGAATAGAAATGGAGGAGGAACAGGACATGGAAAGAGAAAATGGACAGAACCATGGGCAACCATAGAGATCACTCTGATCCTCCTGTCTCTCTGCACTTGAGCAGATCATGCTTGAAGCTAAGATATCCTATGTTAACCATTTTGTCCCTGTCCCATGCAGTGGGGACCTGCAGGTTTCAGGAAGTGCTCATTGTACATTCAGCACTGCACAGAAGGCAATTGGAAAAGACAACTTCACAGCAATCCCTGAAGGGACAAATGGCATTGAGGAGCGGATGTCTGTTATCTGGGATAAGGCAGTGGTAAGAAATGGACTGGGATGATGGGAGGGTGATTCAGGCAACAACTACCCCAGGGAATGAGACATAGGTCTAAATGTCCCTTCTCAATGGCTCATTAGTATAAGCCAAGGAAAGAGGAGAGCAAGACTGTGTCCTAGGAGAACTTGACATCATTTTGTAAGAGGAGCTAGAACCAGTGAAGCAGGAAGCAGTACCATGGTGTAGTGTAGACTAGTAGAGAGGATGGAGACTTGCAAGACCCATCTCTTCCCCTGGTGTCCCAGATGATACAGGAAAGGCACCTCAACTTCCCATCTGTAAAACAAGAATAATGTTGCTGACCCCATTTTTCATGGCTTTGAATCTATGGAAATCTCTCTGAAAACTCTGCAGAGAATTACACAGATAAAGTTAACATCTCTACAAGTTGCTAGGCCCCAGGTTTGCCCTGCCTTTATACGCATCTTCAAAAGCCAGGTACTTCCTAATAGAGGGGGTTTCTTTTCTACACAAATGTGAGGAGATGGGCTTTGCCCTTAGCTTTCAGTGGTTGATCCTTGGTAGATTCTCACAGCTTTAAAGGGGATTGCTGTTTTGGTTTAGGCTTGTTGCATTTCTATTCTCAAAGCTCACGTAAGGGACATACTTGTTTCCTGGATCCTTCCTCCCCTCCCCTTGAATTACTACTGATCTGTGGAGTTAGGAATGGCCCTTCTTTTTTTGTCTAAACAGGCAACTGGGAAGATGGATGAAAACCAGTTTGTGGCAGTGACGAGCACCAACGCAGCCAAGATCTTCAACCTATACCCACGGAAAGGGAGAATAGCAGTGGGGTCGGACAGCGACCTGGTCATATGGGATCCTGATGCAGTGAAGATTGTCACTGCTAAAAGCCACCAATCAGTAAGTCCTGTGCTGGGCAGGAGAGTGTTTGGAGTTAAATGATATCAACTGGGCATGTCTGAAAAGAGTAGCTTAACTATCAGTGGTTCTGTACCTCCATCCAGGAGAGCTGCATCTAAGGCCCCTGAACCTAAGGCAGACGTTATTTTAAGAGGCAATTAACCAGTTAATCGCATCTTAAAGTGTAACCCAGCTACATGTTCATGCAATTAATAGCGTGACAAAAAGCAAATGGGTTACCATTTTGCAGCTGGTTTCCATCACACTTCAAAATGAATGTGTGCACACTGCACTGTGGCTTGGATGGGCCGGTTCAAGCCCCAGTGCAATCCTGATCCAGCCGATGGTCCGCTGATTGTCAGCCAGCTTCCGTGAAGCTCAAACTGGCCTGGTGGATCCCTGAAGGCAGCTGGCAACCTGCTGCTTGTTAGGCACCTTTGAAGGTGCAGAGAGAGCCTAGGATCATGATCCCTGGCCTCCTCCTACTGGCAAGCAAGGCGCGATTGGGATCTGATCCCCAGTCACAAAATTGGGGTGTCCTGCCATGCATGTGTGACATGGTAGGAGGCAAAATTGTAGCGATCACAGATCAGGTCCCTTCATACCTTTAATTGAATGTAAGCAGGTGAAGAAAGACCAAAATGGCAGAGTTAAGATGCTTAGCACTGGGAGGTGGGCAGTACTAACAGCGAATCCAGGCTGGTACCACCTCTTGCTCATTTAGCCCAGGGCCGCACATAACTGTCTATCCTGATCTGAAGCAGCCTGCATTAGGCTTCCTGACACAGCTCTGCTGGTGCAACTTTCTCTTAACCTACATCTGATAATCCAGGACTGGGTTCCTCGCGTAGTTTTGCCAGTGCAGCTTGAACACGTCCTATCCCCCATTATTCTTGTTTTTGGCTGGGGCTCATTCCAGTCTTTGGCCCTACACAGTTCTGAAGCAGAAAGTGCTGGTTAATGCCAGAGGCTGGACAACCTGCTACATGGCTTACTTCCTCTTGTTCCCGGTGCCTCATTTCCTGCTCCTATTGTCTTTGGTTGTGTGTTACAGGCAGCTGAATACAACATCTTCGAAGGGATGGAGCTGCATGGCGTCCCGTTGGTTGTCATATGCCAAGGAAAGATCATGTTGGAGGATGGCAACCTGCATGTGACACAGGGGACTGGGCGCTTCATCCCCTGCAGTCCTTTCCCAGACTATGTCTACAAACGCATTAAAGCCAGGAGGAAGGTAAGGAAGTGGGGAAGCCCAGGACATGGGAGATTGAGCCGCTGGATGGATGAAGCCTCTGTATTTAGGTAAAAAATTACTACTTCCTGAGGGCCTTCATGTAGACATAATGGATAGCACCAGCAGAGCTACCTTCCTGAATCATTCTCTTCCATGGTAGTTGAATTTCCTGCCATAGTAACTGTGCTGGAAGGTTCACACTTTTAAAACCAGCAGCCCAGACATCTGAATTTAATGGTGTGCGTCACCCCCAAAGGAGGGACATTGGACTGGATATATCATTGGTCTGTTTATGTACAACAGCTCTTCTGGGAGGCCAGGCTGAGGGCAGAGTAGAGCAAAAAGGTCTAAAGGCAGGGGTGCAGAAAAGACCCCAAACTACCTCTTGTGACATTACTCCACAGTGAAGGACTTTTCTGTTGTGCTTCATCCTTTCTCTTAGGCTGACGAGGACCATTTCTCTTAGGCATTTAGACTTCAAAAGGACTGAAGTTAGCTCGGATAGCTCCACAAACAAACCGGCTTAGGAACTAGAAGCAATCTAATCATGGTAGCATCTACCTCAGCACAGCCTAGTTTGTCTTGCTTCTTGGTCGCTTTATAACTCTTTATAAATGGGGACCCAAGGCATAGCAAGTCTGAGGCATAAGTCCCATAGAAAGCCTGTCAACAGACATGTGTGCGCATCCATGGCAGGCTAAAGGTCTTTAGAAGGTATCTGAGGTGGGTGAGAAGGTGCTGTAAACCTCACTAGCCAGTTAGTGACCAAGAAGCAAGACAAACTAGGCCGTCCTGAGGTATATGCTACCATGACTAGATTGCTTCTAGTTCCTAAGCCAGTTTGTTTGCGGAGCTATCTGAGCTAACTTCAGTGCTGTGAAGTCTGCAACCTAAATATGTAAGAGAAACGGTCCTCATCAGCCCAAGAGAAACAGTGTCATTGTTTCTTCTGTGCTTTGTCTTGCAATAGATGGCCGAGATGCATGCTGTACCCAGGGGCATGTATGACGGGCCTGTGTTCGACCTGGCCGCCACACCTAAAGGGGGAACCCCTGCAGGCTCCACCAAGGGATCCCCCACCCGACAGACTCCTCCGGTCAGGAATCTCCATCAGTCTGGATTTAGTCTGTCAGGTGAGCGTGAGCTGGAAGGGGCTGCTGCTTGAATTATTCCACAGCACCATGTCCCAGAGGATATACAAGGTGGGATTTAGTTGGATTTAGCATACATGGTTGTGGAGGTGACTAGGAGAGCTGCCCAGCCTAGGGAAAGCCTGGGGGCTTACAGTGTATCTGCACACCTTAAACCTTTTTTTGCCCTAAAGTAAATGGATTTCTGGTCACAAGCCTGACACACCTACCAAAGGCCTTTTCACTGGCCCCAAGCCCTTTCCTTCCTTGTGATGTGGCTTCTGTTGGGGAGGGAGCTCCAGGGAAAAGTCAGTGCCACCGCTGGCTGTTGGGCGGCGGTAAGGGATTGTTTAGGGTGGAGCAGGCAACGGGAGAGGAGGAGAGCCTCCGGTGGGCTATGCAGTGACCTTGCACCTCCTGATGGCATGGTCCTCAAGAAAACCCTCTAACCTGCCTGTCTCCCCTGTCTTCGGTTGTTATTTTGGTCTGAATTACAGGTACCCAGGTTGATGAGGGTGTGCGTTCAGCAAGCAAACGCATTGTAGCACCCCCTGGAGGCCGCTCCAATATAACTTCCTTGAGTTAAGCACCCAAGGCAGGAAGGAAAATCCATATTCAAGAGAAGGAAGAAAAAAAAAAAAGGTACCTTGGTATTTAAGAAGGAAAAACAAATGGAAACCATTCAGATCCGAAGAATCAATAAGCCTCAAGCCTTATGTTTCACGAATGCTACTCGCTACCTAGCTTTAAAGATATTGCTTTGGGGTTTTTTTGTTTATGCATAGCCTTAATTTTTTGTTGTTGTTGTTTTCATTTTTACATGCATGCAAATCAGACCGGTCACTAAGTTAAGAGTCTGTAATATACATGTTGAACAAATGTGTGATGCCGCATCGTAAGAAGGGGACGGAGAAAGCTGGGACGACCGTGACATGAAGAAACTAGCTAGGCGGGTTATGTGGGACTAATCAGCCATGGAGTTTAGTGTGGTGCGGGGTGGGCAGGGAGGAAGGTGGCCGTGGAGTTTAGTGTGGGGCGGGGTGGGCAGGGAGGAAGGTGGTGGGGGGCGGGTTAGTGGGAGGCGAGTAGGGACAAGGTGGGTCTGTGTTGTGTCGGTGTTCTCTTGCCACTCGGTACTGGTGAGATGTAGTTGCCGTGGCGTCATGCCTTGAGGCCTGTTGGGAAGCCTGGAGTCATCTCTGTAACAGCTCTGTTGCATCGCCTCATGTAAGAGATTTTATTACTTTGTACATTTTATTAAAAAACAGAAAGCAGCTGTTCCTTCCAAATGGCTGGCTGTGGTAGTTTGTTTTCCGTCTCTAGAATACGAAAAGGGAAATTCTCTCAGTCCCTGACTCCCTTTCTGTTCTGCAAAGAAGTCCAAGGATTACCAAATCCAAGACAAACCTGCCTCTGTCAGGTCAGATAGAGCTTGTGCCTTCTCCTCTATGCCCCGGCCTTCAGTTTTCAAGTGCCTGCTGGGATCTGAGGGAGTTGCAGCTACCAAGAGCAATCCTCCTTTGTAAGCTCTGTGGCTCTGCAGGCTGCAATTGGGCTGATCTCCACCTACCCCTGCCTCATCTCCCCAGTAAATACACGTGTTTGGCCACTTTTCCTGGAAGTTTGTTTGCAGTCTCAGCCTTTCACAGCGAGGTCCCTGATTTGCACCCTGTCCTCATCAGTACAGGGTAGGACTGTCTCCCTGATATTGCAGTTTGTGGTGTGGAAGCTGGTGGTTTTAATATATTCCCTGAATAGCACACACATTCACATCCTCCATTTGCTGCTGTCTGGTCTTGTCCATGTTCATTTAACAGCTTATCCTACAATGGCAGGGAACCAGCATCAGCCACAGAACGGAGATGATGGCTATTTTTGTGAAGCTGAGCCTTCTCCGCTTGGTGGCAGGTTAAAGGTTGCTTCATTACTGTTCTGTAGATTTAATTGTGTTGTTCACCAAACCTAGGTTTCACCAGGAGTAGAGCTAGAATATTAACAGCGGCACATCTCAGGAACAATAATTTTCCATTGTTAAATAACGTGCTGGGCATGTGATTGCAGCATCGGGTCAGAGTACTCGGGGTGTTTTGGAATCTTTAACCATACACTTTTTGTGTTAAAACCTGTTTTTTGTTGGTCTAGAAATCCTTGGCTAGGACTTTTTTTCACTCTGGAGAGGGGAAAAAAACTGACAATGGTGAGCTCTAAGCCAAAGCCCTTTGGCATTGAACTGAATGTGGGACATTCCCAGACTGCTGTGAAAGACTGGATGATGGGTTCACTCATGCAGCATGCTGGGAGCCCTTTTCCAGGCATTTCTCAATTCTTTTTCTGAAAATACTGATCTTTGGGGTGTGTGCAGCAGCACATGGTCCAGTAGTTGAGATGCCACTGTCAGGTATAATAACTGTTCTTGTCTTACAGTGATGGCAACCATCACCATATTATCAGTTACTACCTGATAACAGTACTGTGGTGGGAGATCTCTCTCTCCCCACTTCCCCAACTATACTTTCTGTCTTAAGCATAAACCACAGAAGCGCCTCTCATCTGTGAAAGACGTTAGGGTGAACCACACAACAAATGTGGTATAGGCTGCTAAAGTTTATGATAACTCTGGTCCAAGATGGGAAGTGAGTATTGCAAGATGAAGACAGCCATAATGATGAGGACAGTGTAAGACTGTGTAGAGGATTAACAGTAACTTCATCTCATCACTGCTGCCCATGAAACAGTCAGTAGGGAGAAATACAGTCTTCTCTGGCTTTCGCTGCAAAATTTTTTTGGAGTTCTCATCTCTACGGGTTTAATGTGCAAACAAGGAGCCCTTCTCATTTTTCCATCTATTTGGTTTGGGTGACTGGCTGCTTTCATGAATGACCTTAATGCTGCTGCTTTCACAGCAAGAGACAGGCAAAACTGGCCAACAACCCCTTAAGCGCTATTCTGGGAACAGTTCTGCATTGTGTCTAGAGAAGCTTCTGCATCCTGGATGCAGTGTGGATGCCAGCAGCAAGACTCAGCAGTACTAACGTGCCACCACAAGATGGCGCTGAGCTACCAAAAATGAACAGCTGCAGGCTAACATACAGGGCCTTGTTATACTCTGTATTGCAGAGCAGGAGAAACCAGAAGTATTTGTGTGCGATTTACTAATGCGACTAAATTAACCCATGAGCCACTGGACTTTGCATGTAAAAATAGATGGAGAATGGTAGGGAAGTTTCTGCTCAATTAGGTGCAAAGGTTTGGGCTCTAACCTAAGGTCCTTTTCCTTCCAGGTTAGCAGCCATCTCACTGAGCCACATTCCCTTTAGCTTGTTCTTGGCCTCCTGCCTACCAGGTTACAGTAGTAATTGTGCCTACCCAGGTGCGCACACACAGCACCTTGTCAGGGTGCAGCCTATTGGGCATGTGCACCTCCAGCAGAAAGAATGGGATCACTCAGTGTGCAAAGATACCAAAAACCAGCAATTAAAATGGCTGGCTAGCAATCATTTTTGGCATGTAATGTGAAATAGCATTCTGGCCTTAGGCTTCAAGTCCAGGAACATCAAGTTATTACCTGTCTCAAGGCCTAAGCATGAACAACCATATGCTTAACTTATATGTACATGAAGCTAGCTTTGGATAACTACCTCAGGCATTGTTCCCAGCAGTTACACTGCCATAGAGGTCAGCACAGGCTGCAAAAGAACCGTTAAGGTGTCTACCCTAGACAGCACACCCCACCTCCATTAGGCTTTTCATAGATCAGTAGAACCTGCAGGCCAGTTTGAGGTGTAGGAAACAGCTTGCTGGTCATGGTATATAAGATATATAGCACCCACTACAGAAGGGTTATTAAAAAGAAATAAAAAAACCGCAATGCACCTGCACTGCAAAATCCAGGAGCTTCATGTTGTCTGACGTTAGAACCTGAAACTCTTAAAAAAAAAATGAAAGTGATAGAGACCAGAGACATCTGTCAGATAGGTGCATTGTGCATTTATCATGTGCTGTCATGACTTCTACTTTTATCATCAAAGACATGAATCCAGTTAGGTCAGGACCAGATTGACTCCTTGGTTGCCCTGCTCTTCAAAAAAAGGAGCTGTATTCAGTAGAAATATTTGCAGTGACAACGAGAAAGGAGGAGGCAATGCTTTCTTGGGAGCTGACCCTGGAATGGTCACCTTAAGTAGTACACCAGTTTCTGGGGCAAAAGGTTCCTGAACTGTATAATACATAATGAGACTAAGAAAAGAAACATCCACTACAAAATGAGGGAAGATGAGGAACAAAGGCTAAGGATGATCATCACATACCATAACTATACCTTCAATAGCTAGCTAGATTATACCTACATAGACACCATCAATGCTAACTAATATTTCTAACAGGTACAGCATGTAACTAGAAGTTCTGCTTGAGCAGTGACCAGCTGCATTGTAAACTTGCAAACATCTGTAGATTAAAACACTGAATGCATCAGATTGTGTGAACCAACTGATTCAATTGTCAGGGATGAAAAGCTAGGGAGCTGGCTTGAGAGGCATATCTATCCTCTCTCAGGCTGAAAGGGAGCTCTTGGCAGCTCCAAGATCAGAAATCAGTGCACAAAAGGGCTGTCCAGTGTCTGGTAGAGGGCTCAGCCTTGGGGACTTGGGAACATTCTCTGCTGTCAGGAGTCTCCCCCCGGTTAAAAAAAAAAAAATGGTTTGATAAAGCAGTGAAGGTGCTGTAAGGACAAAAGACTCCAGGTCTCAAGACACCTGTGGACTCGGCAACATCTACTAGCCTGAGAAATACCTCAAGGTGAGGAGCTGGGCAATCTTTCTTCATGAAGCACCGAACCCTGTTGATTTGTATCATCCTCCTGACACAAGGTACCTACCTAAGGGCTTACAAATGCCTCGGTGGAAGCACCGCCAAAACCAGTTTCAAATCTAACCCCAAATCTTACCTGGGCTTGCCCATAAGATGCAGTAACAGTTCTGTAGCACCTATAAGAGAGAAAACCACAGGACTGACAGCTAAACTGATCTGACTGTTAGGGTTTTGTTCAAAGTACTTTTGGCAATCTCCCATTTCCATAGTATCAGAACATCTCACCAATGTTAGGAGACAATCTCACCACACCCCTCTAGAGTTTGAGCAGTCCCCATCGTACAGCTGCATAACTGGGAGATAAAGCAGTTTGAGCAAGTTGTAGAGAAATGTTGGCAGAGTCAGGAACTGAACCAGAAACTCCTAAGTGGGTGCGTCTACACAAGACGCTTACTGTGCAGTAGCTTAACATTGCACAGCAGCATGTCGGTCAAAAACCACGCGGCAGCCATTGCTACTGCACAGTAACTGTAGTTACTGTGCATTTAGTTAGTACTTCAGTAAGCATGTACTAAACTAAGAATGACTATAGAAAAATAACTATAGAAAGATGACATTTTCCAGTAACTATGATCTATTTAACAGACTGAGAGCAGGTCCATGTAGCAAGCTAACCGTGCCAGGCAATGAATGGCACACTCACAACACAGTCACCAGCTTGCAGTGTAAGAGAACCAGTGTGGACACATCCGTGTGACACCCTGGTATGGTTAGCATGGTAGCACACTAACTAGCAATATAATTCGGCACTGCTAATTAGCTCAATTAAAACTGCACAGATTCGGTGACGCTGCTTCTGGTTTGGGAAGCACGCCACATAAAGCAACACAGCAGATTTGAGGACGTGACTGCCAGACACAACAAGCTTGCCATATAGACTTGTCCTGACTGGACCAATTTTAATGTTGAAATAATTCCTTTCTGGCTCTGACAGCTTTATTGAAATGAGTGGAGGGTCATGCTAGGAAAGTGCAAAGACACAGCATGAACACCCACCATCTTGTAACTGTTC